GGAACTTTTGGATGTCTTGAAAATTATTGCTTATGCTTTATACTTTCTCTTAGGTCTTGAATTTCCTAAATACTTTTAAAGTCACTTTTCAGTTTGTTAGAAGCTGCTACGTGGCTAATAAAAAAACAAAGAAAGATAAATAACTATTTGGTTATTTTGATGAATGTCGTTAGGCTATTGGCATAAGTTAATATAGAATAATAGAGTAAAAATATTTTGCCTCAAATAATACCCTTCTATAAAAACTTCAACCATCCAGGGAGTGACTCCTTTTTCCGTTTTGCTTGGTCTATATTAACTGTGGATTTATTCATCTGGAATCTGTTTTTATTTCAGAAATCATAAATGTGCTTCCTTCTGATTTTCATCTTGTTCTGTGCAAGGTGTAACTCCCAGTTCGTCATAGTTAAAAGCAGGTTGATTCTAAAACATACACATTTACCAAGTTTTATTTCCCTAAAGGAGACCGGGGCATTGGCTTAAATCGTTTCTGTTTTCATGCCACCGGGTGCTACTAAAGAACACACTGAAAAAAGATCATTTAATTCCGTCAAAATTTTTTGCAGCTTCATTTAACTGGGTCTTTCCATTAGTCAGTGAGTATTCTTCCCTGACTGAATCACTGTTACATTCCCCACAGTGCCTCATCCCAGAATTTTCACTATTCTTCTTCCCAGAATCCACATCTCTTCATTCTCTGAAGATCACTTTGCGTCTTCCTGGGAACACTAAGGTTATCTACGTGAACTCCATCCTCACTCCTTCTCTACAAACATCTTTCTTTAACTACATCTCTTTCCTCTTTCTGCCCTTCCCTCAGAGGCTAATGCCTCCAACTTGGCTCTTGATCCCATCTTCTCCTGTCTCTGAGACCTATTCCTATTGATCACCCCATTTTATCCTGGGCCTACAATCTCTCATCCTCTGACTCTGCCACTGCTATTCTATAAATGGCAACAAAGCAAATCTTTCTTCCACTTTTCTTATCTCTCAAGTTTCTTTTCTGCCAGGTTTTTGAAAGTGTATTCCTCTTTTCCTTGATCTAATTTTTAACTTCTAACAACTTAATCTTTACCCCTACCTCTCCATTGGAACCAAACTATCAAAAGTCACTCACATGTAATCTACTGGTAACTCAATCGATAGCCTTTTCTCAACCACTCGTTACTCTTTGCAGCATTTGACAAATTCAATAACGTCATCTTTCTGGAAACCAGAAGTATTTCCAGAATTCTGAATGGAATTTTTTTCCTCTATGCCATGTTTCTTTAACTACAAATTTGAACCTTTCTCTATGTTTTCTAGCTGCAATTGCCCAATATCCTTATTACAGATATTCTCCCAGGAATTTTTCTGCATACATGCTCTACATATGCCCTTTTTTATGGGATTTTCATGGTTTTAAACATCTTTTTCTGTGTGAGTAGCTCTGAAATCCATTAATCCTGAATTGCAGGACTATATTTTCTGTTTTGGTTGGACCTAATCACATTTAAATTCTACTATTATGTCAAATTCAATAGGTCCAGAACAGAATCACTGTTTTTCTCCTTCCCTAATTTGTCTTTTTTGATTTCCTCCTTTGTGTAATGACATCACCATCTTCTCTGTCACCCAGAATAAAACATTGAGGTTTTCTTAGACCCATGATTTTCCTACCCCCAGAGCCATGAATGCTCAAGCTCACAAATATACTTCCCTGCTAGCCCCATACTGCCAGATTAACTTTCTCAAAGCATAATTACAGGTTATTCTCCTGATTAATAGCTTTCTATTATTTACAAAATGAAATCCAGATCATACCATGGCATTGATGATTGTTCACAGCATGGCTGCCCCACCTGTCTGATGCTTGTTCTTGATGCTACACTGAACAGTGGGCAAGCTGCAGTATTTGCTATTCTCTACACTCACCTTATGATCCCTTCCCTGAGGTTTTGCTCATGATGTTTCCTCAGTCTCTAATATCCTTGTGGTTTAAATTCTACCCATTCTTCCAATGATACATCCTTAAAGCTTTCCCTGATCTTCTTCACAACTGGAAGAAATCTTTCTAAACTCTCAATTGTCAGTTACATTTTACTAACATAGCCACCCCAGCTATGGCTAATGTCTTTTGCTTAGCGTTTACAACATGGAATATTTTTTTTTCCATTCTATAACTTGTAACCTATTTGTGTCTGAATGTTCACAAAGCATGCTTCTTATAAATAGCATATAGTTAGGTCTTGCCTTTTCACCTAACTTTTTAAACAGTGATTCAATTAGTCTGGCAATCTGTGCTTTTTAATTGTGTTCTTTAGTCTGTTTATATTTACTATAATTATTGATATATTTGTATTTAAGTCTATCATCTTGGGGATTTAATTCTATTTGCTCCCTCCCTGCCTTTTTTTGCCCCTCCTTTCCCCTCTTTTTTCCTTTCCTACGTTTCTTTTCAGGGTGGTTAACTCATCAAATTTTGTTTTAGTATTCTATCACCCCTATTGGTTTTTTAGTTATGCCTCTGCATATCTCTGTGCATTAGTGATTATTGGGCAGATTAAAATATGCATCTTTAACTCATCACATTCTATCTCTAAAAAACTATCCTTGAAAAACTGTAAGAATTCTTTGACAATCTATTGCCAGGTTTTACTTACTACCCTTTGTGTTCTTATTGACCATAACTTGCTTTACAAATATATAGTGTAAATTATAAATTCTATATTGTGATTATTTTTCCTTAAAAAAATCCCATAGTCTAAAAGATTTAGACTCATATATGTATAAAAATTTGGAATATCTTTTAAAAGATTATTTTAACTTATTAAGCTTTTTGTATTTTATGGTATTCCTATTTCTTCTTTTTTTTTTTATTTCAGCATATTTTAGGGGTACAAATGTTAAGGTTACATATATTGCCTTTGCCCCACCTGAGTCAGAGCTTCAAGCATGTCCAGCCCCTAGACGGTGCACACCACACCCATTAGGTGTGAATATACCCATCCCCTCCTCCCCACTCCTGCCTGCCCAATACACGATGAATGTTACTACTGTATGTGCACATAAGTGTCTATCAGTTAACACAAATTTGATGGCGAGTACATGTGGTGCTTGTTTTTCCATTCTTGTGATAGTTCACTTAGTAGAATGGGCTCCAGCTCTATCCAGGATAATACAAGAGGTGCTATATCACCATGGTTTTTTGTGGCTGAGTAGAACTCCATGGTATACATATACCACATTTTATTAATCCACTCATGTATTGATGGGCACCTGGGTTGTTTCCACATCTTTGCAATTGTGAATTGTGCTGCTATAAACATTCTAGTGCAGATATCTTCTTTATAGAATGTCTTTTTTTCCTTTGGGTAGATGGCCAGTAATGAGATTGCTGGATCAAATGGTAGTTCTACTTGTAGCTCTTTGAGGTATCTCCATATTACTTTCCACAAAGGTTGTACTAGCTTGCAGTTCCACCAGCAGTGTATGAGTGTTCCTATCTCTCCACAACCATGCCAACATTTATTGTTTTGGGACTTTTTGATAAAAGCCATTCTCACTGGAGTTAAGTGATATCTCATTGTGGTTTTGATTGTGGAGTGTGGGAGGGTTTTTTCTTGGTTCTGCTTATACATTCTCAAACTTAAGCCAGTTGTATTAGTCCATTTGTGTTGTTATAAAGAAAATACCTGAGGCTGGATAATTTACAAAGAAAAGAAATTTATTTGGCTCACATTTATGCAGACTGTACAAGAAGCATGGCACCATCATCTGCTTCTGGTGAGGGTTTCAGGGCGCTTCCAATCAAGGTGGAAGGTAAAGGTGGAGTAGGAGTGTCACATGGAGAGAGAGGAGCAAGGGAGAGGAGGAGGTGCCAGATGTTTTTAAATAACCAGCTCTCACATGAACTAATAAAGAACTCTACTGAGGCAGGGAATCAAGCCATCCATGAGGGATCTGTCCACATGACCCAAACATCTCCCACCAGGCCCCCCTTTTGCCACTGAGGATCAAATTTCAATGTGAGATTTACAGGGGCCAAACATACAAATCACATCACAGGCCTTTTAGTTCACTAATTTACCTTGCAACTTTAAGTCTCCAATGGACTCAAAAATTATGATTCTGTAGGCTACCCAATTTGTTGTTTGTTTGGGTGGGAGTAACGTCTCCTATGCCTTTCTATATCCTAGACAGAAAGAGAAAATCCTTATTTTATCCTTTACTGTCCCTTAGATTTGGCTCCCCCAGAAACCAAGAACACTAAGAAAAGGTTTATTTGGGAAATGATCCCAGGATACCCCAGTAAATGAATAGGAAGAGACACAGGGACAAGAAGAAAGCCGAGATAGTGTGTTAATGAGCGGCTGTGGTACAATCCCACTGAAGACTTGTGGAGAAGACTGTATGGACTCAACCTTGGGGAGGAAGTGGGGTATTCATGTAGCACTTCTCATCTGTAATTGATTATCTGCCCTGCCTGTGGATAGAGCCTACTCCAGATCAAAAAAAGGGAAGAGGATTACAGGTGCTTGCAGTAGAAAATTGTTGACAAGAGGGAATATGGGAAGGCATAATAGTGTCTGTTATAAACTCTCCAATGACATTTATTACTTTGTTTCTCAGATATATTGGTGTACTAAAGCCTGATGCTACTGAGAGGAAGATTCATGCCAGATTTATCTTTGTAGTCTCTCAGCGTAGAAACTTGGATATAATAGTCAGAAGGCAATCAACATTTATTAAATGAAAAATACATTTTATACAGTACCAATATGGAGAATTCTGGTTAGCTCTTCTTTGTTTCCTCCCAAGCCCACATCTCCACCTCTACCCCAATCACTCGGATAACCTAGTTTGGGCTCTTAATTGCTAAAAAGGTTAAATTCACCAGACTCGTTGGAATTTTTTGAAAAAATCATATTAATTTTCCAGCTCATTTGAATGGACTATAATTTTAAAATATAACTTCCAAATCTAAACATTGTCTAACAGACATTTTATATCACTAGCAGCCAATAATGATAAGGCGTCCGCCAACAATTGTTTGCTACATTTGTGGTCGTGAATATGGAACAAAATCTATCAGCATCCATGAGCCACAATGCTTGAAAAAATGGCATAATGAAAACAACTTGCTGCCTAAAGAGTTAAGGAGACCAGAACCTAAGAAACCAGAGGTCAGGACCATAACTGGTAAGTTCCTAGAAAAAAGACTTGCGTGCGTAAGGGAAGACTTTTCTCTCTAAACTTATAAGAGTAGAGGTATTCTTTTCTTACTTGTTCAAACAGTGGAAATCAGCAATATTCACTTACTGGCTACACCCAAATAAGAAAAATAGTCCTGCAATGCCTGTCCCAAGTGTTGTCTTCCGCTGCTTAGACATAAAGACACTATGTCCTGGCAGCGCCATGCAGGAGAGATGAGAGGAACTCACTGGAATTCACTGTATTTCCCACAAGTGACTTTCATATATTATCAAACATAATATTTTAAAAACATGAAGCTTAAAGAATTAAACCTTTGGAGACATCCAGAGTCATATTTCCAAGTATGAATGTGGCTTGGTATTTATAGAGGAGAGGCACAAACTCAAATGTTTACAAAGACCACTAGTCAGGTTACAAAATTGGATAAACTGATCCATGTGTGAAAAAAAGGGAAGTGGGGGAATATAATGAGCTGGAGAACACCGGCTCTTTCCAGGAGGCAGCAGCTGCCCAGCTCCAGCTGGTGCTATCATTAAGAAATTTAGTCTAATGCAGTCATATCTTTCAATAATAGAAAATAAACTGGAAATCTAGACATCTATATGAAATGTTTATATTTTTAAGATTTTTACAGTCCAAAGCACTGTACAAAACCCAAATGAAACCAGAACTACACTGCCACATGTGGCCTTGTCACAGATCTTACTCACTTAGGGTGTGAAAATAGTTAAGAGAATATTTTTACCATGCAAGCTCAGACTTGCTTATCATATTTCTACCATTGTCATTTTCTCAGTTGATCCCCTAAATCATCTCAAAGGAAAATTTTGGTCTTAAGGGGAATATCTTTCAATTCACTCATTCTCCTTATGTAACTATATTTGCAGCACTGGAAGGTACCTTGAAGGTCATTAGGGGTCAATTGTCCAAAGCAGTTTCATAACAATCCACAGAGTGGAATTTAGATTGTATGATAAAATTCTAGAAGCTGCTAGATCCCAACTATTCACAGTCCTTGCTCAGAGGAGAATTTTGCATATAGATGGGCAAAGAACTCTAGATGAAAACATCCATGATTAATTGCAATTAGAGCACTTGCCAACTAAGCGATTGTTTACCTCATTGAAACTCTTTTCCAAGCAATTCTCATTTGGTGCCAAAATCTATTTCTTTTTCTTTTGATTTTTATCACTTTCTCTGCTTGAGCATAATTATCACAAGGCTAGAAAAAATGAGAGGCATGATTGGTTTGAAAGTTTTGGTGGATTCACTATTCTATTATCGCTTATGTATGGAAAATGTAGGCCCTATAACTGCACTTCCCTACAATTTTCTACTTGGTCTCTGCTATTCTTATCTCTGAAGTCGCCCTTCCTTGCTAGGTAAAGAGAATTCACATTACAATTTCTATCCCATGGACTCACTGTGCTCACAACTCACTCATAGAGTTCAAATAACACTTCCTCCCGATCCAAAGTCAAAGGCGTATGCAAAAATATTTGGAAATGTGATGAATCACCTTCAGGTGAGAGTCAACGACTACTCTGGAATATTTGAGTCGGTATGAAAACTCCTATGAGTAACAAAAAAGTCAGTGTCATTCTTTTCTCAACAGTTTTCAAAGCACTCAAAATACACATTCATATTCTACAGAGAAGGTGACACTTGCTCTAGTCAAAGGAGAAATACTAGATTTTGCAGGGGTTTGAATTCCTGTGGAACAAAAAAAAGAAAGTTGTTAGGAGCAGGCATGTTAAGAAATCTAAGGTTCACTATAGTCACATGAACTATTAGATAGGAAAACAAAGTAATATTTTTTGAGTGCCTGGCTACATTTTGGGGGCCTATTTTGAATGATTCCAAGACACAGTCAATTTAATGTACTAAATTCATTCTATTTAAATAAGGTTTATTAAAGCTAAATCCCACATTGTTTCTCTAAAATAAATCCATATGCCCTTTTTCCCTATGCTCTGCCAATGAAGATTATACATTTCTTAGCTGTCTTTGTTGTTTTCTTAAAGACATTTCTTTTTGTCAGATTATTCTGTTTGCATTCTTCATTTTAATTACTTAAAGAATCTCCAATTTAATGACCATGAGATGATGATAAACTTTTAGGATATAATTCATCTTAAATTCACTCTCAGCTGTCAGTTTGGGCCTCTAAAAAATTACACTGAAGGATTACAGAAAAGAAAACACAAATACATGCTCTCTTCCCTTTGTAAGCTTATATTTAAAGTCAGCTGAAACAAGGCCAGAAGTTTTATTTGTGAGATAATAATGTGTAAGCAAAGATGTTAATAATTAGCGAAGAATGCATATCATGACACATAAAACAATGTCCTCTCCTTTTTAAAATCCACAGAGTGAAAAGTCTCTGGTTCATAGCTAACTTTATTCAACCCTTGAAAGAATGAGCAGCCCCCCCCCCTTTTTTGGCAAAAGTAATATGATTTGTTTAAAAACCTCAGTCAACAGGTATTTCCTGAAAATATTTTCCATAAAAAGTAGAATATGGTTCTCCAGAATTAAAAAAACTAATCTATTTTACCTTTTTCTTTCCCTTTTCTTTCTTTTTTATTTATTTTTCTTCTCCCACCCCCCTTTTCCTTGTTCTCTTTAACTTTCTAGCCAAAGGTTTCTATGATCTCGATGCCTTAAACGAAGCTGCTTGGACAAGCACCCAGAGCCAGTTGGTTCCCTGTAATATTTGTGGGCGTACCTTCCTGCCAGACAGCCTGATTGTTCATCAACGATCTTGTAAACCCAAAGCTGCCAAGTAAAGCCCTTTTCTCTCTACTGAAGTGTCACAGGAATTAATCCCTTTGAAAGAGACTGGGCTAGAGTGGGAAGGAGAAAAAGGAGGCGAGAAGAGGAAACAAGGACAGCAGGCGCTGGCCAAGGGCGGGCCTAGCAGGGGGAGGCCGGCTCAGGGCAGCGGTGCTGCTGCCCACACTGTGCAATGGGCACTTGCTCTGGTCCTGACGCGCAGCCGTGTGTGCATAGACACACTGGGGACCCTTTCACACTTTTGTCAGGCAGAATTACAAGCGGGCTGCTTCTCATCAGAGCTGGCATTTTTGCCTAAAAGAGATTTTGGAGCCAATTGTTGCTACTTTTCTTCCATTTTACTTTCCTGAACAAGATTTTGAACCTCACAATTAGGATAATTATTTAGCCGACAGGAACTTTAGAAGCAACGTCAGGAAACTCTTTAGTCCCAGGAAGAACTGGATTCCTTCCTATCCCTGTGCTTCCTGAAATACTATGCCACTTCCTGTTTCCGCTGATCCGGGGACATTTTTTAATTGAGTTATTGATGGGAGGGCTTCTTTTCTTCTGTCAAATGAAATCATTCAGCAGGAGAGGCAGTCAAAAACTCTCTGAGGACTTAAAGTTCTGGAACTATATCTAACTCATACTCCCTTTCTAATGGCAAGAAACGCTACAGAGATATTTCCGAGCCAGTACCAGCCTCATGTGTCAGGAGACTGCTGCAATATAATTCATCAAAATGGGTGGAGGCCAGCTCCTTCCTTCTGTAGGAGAAGTCCAGCATGAATTCTTGATGCCCTCATAGGGGTTTATAGGTGTTTTATTGTTGTTGAGGTCTAAAAGCCTGCCAGGGAGTTCTGTGCCTCCCCATCCAAGGCCCAAGCACAGTAAGTGGGTTGTGAAACTGCAGTGTAGTTTAGAGTCCTTGAATGGGTTCATCTAGGTGGGGCTCTCCTGGAAGGAAGTCAGGGCCAGGGAGGGGCTCTGCCCAGGAAATTCTGCTGCCCCAGGCTGTGCCGCTTCGCCTGGACTCCCAGTGGTTTTGCTTGAGATCTTTGTTCATTTTATGGCTGAATTCCAGGGCCATTTTGAGTCCACTGGGTTCCTGCAAGCCTCACATTCATGACCTTACACAGCACAGTCAGCTCCAAATTATACAGGCAAATTTATTCAACCTAATGTTTTGGTCGTACATCTGTTTATTATACAGGGTTAGGTTAGGATAATTGTGCTAATCATTCTGTTTTTCCAGCCTGCTCCAAAAGAAGCAAGAGATGAACCTTTAAAAAAGTTTTTAGATATCCTCAAACAAGAATCTTGCAGAAGACATGGCGTTTGATGACTCTCTGTTGATGGTTTAGTTCTTTTATCTTGTTAACAAAAGCACAACAAAAACAACTAATGTATACTGGGAGTACTAAGCACTTCATATACATCAGTTAGTATACATCTCACATCAATCCTACAAATAGATATCATTATCTGCCTTTTACAGATCAGGAACTGATACCTAGACCAAGTAGCTAATTCTAGGCCATACTGAACCTGAGTTAAGGGATGGGGGAATGAAGTAAACTCAGGACTGTTGGACTTCCAAAACCACAATGTGATCCACTGCTGTTTGTATGTGAGATATCGCCATTAATAAGATTAGCTGGCCGGGCATGGTGGCCCAGACCTATAATCCTAGCACTTTGGGAGGCCAAGGCACGAGGATTGCTTGAGCTCAGGAGTTTGAGACCAGCCTGAGCAAGAGCAAGACCCCATCTCTACTAAAAATAGAAAAATTAATGGGGGGGGTGTGCATGCTTGTAATCCCAGATACTCAGGAGGCTGAGGCAGGAGGATCGCTTGAGCTCAGCAGTTTGAGGTTGCAGTGAGCTATGATCATGTCACTGCCCTCATGCTCAGGCAACAAAGCAAGCGACGAAGCAAGACCCTGTCTCCTAAATGAATAAATAAATAAATAAATAAAATTAGCTATACTAACACAAATGATCTGGCAAATGACAATTTTCGTACATTGTTTGGTAAGTAAGGCAAATGGGAATCTTAGCATGCTTGCAGTTCTGCTGGTTTGAGTTTATCTTATACTGAGGTGAAAACAAGTTAGAGCTGCATTGTCTTAGGAGTTTCAAAAGACACTTCTACATTTTGATGATGTTCAGAAATCAAAGAGCAGGGAAAATAAAACAAAAGTTCTGGCCTCACCTATGAAATAAGTTGCCACTCAGGTCATAAAAAGGGATCCTTGGGCATGAAAAAAATGAAATCCCAAAGAACCCAACATGTTTATGTGTATGAATCATTAAGTCTGTGAGTTCCTGAAGTGGCTGCAAAGGAAGAGCTCTTGAGAGATCCTCACATCCACGGAGAACCGTGAGGCAGCTTGAGGTGCGTCAGGTGCTGACTAGGAGGATTCCGCTCACGGCTCCACCTCAGCTGCAAATGTTCCATGGAGTTAAATCTGGAGCAAGCTCAGTTGTAAAGACATCAATTTAAGAGTTCTGGTCCATTATCAAGGCAAGTTATCAAAGCCTCACCATTCATAAGAAAGAGCTCAAGTGCCCTCTGCCAACTGCCCTCCCCACAACGAGTTCACATCTGGGCAGATCTTTGTAACTCTCAAAAGGAAATAATGTCTTTGACAATGCTTGGCACCTCCGTGAGCTCTGAATCCAAACCTTACAATGGTTTCCATAGATGATCTCCTAGATGATGAAGAGCAGATCCTAGATGAAGGTACTCGGAAGTCTACACAGACCCAGGCAGTTATTGGCATGGGACGTAACGTTGTCACAGGCATCAACAACGATGCAGTTCCCCCACTGCTCTGCGACCCGGTGCTACACACACTTTAATTGAATTCCCCTCTAGTTGAGGGTATGGGAAGAATTCCAGGAGTGCTTGATGCTCATTTGCACACCGAATTCACACGAAAGTTTGAGGGCTTGTCCATCCAGAAAGGGACTGAATAAGCACATCCTAGTCAGAGGCGTGGAGAGGAGGAAGCTCCTACAGTCAGTGAGCGTGTGAATCTGCCAGCCCCTGATGTGGGTCTTCAGGCAGCTTCATCACAGAATTTTCCAGGTGGGGTCTCAAGGATGGCTGCTTGATGCACTGCTTTATTTAGGGAACACTGGTCTGAGCCTCTACAAAAAAGAAGCTGCTATTGATAATTGGGGCCATTTGTGAGCAAGGAAAAGACAGAGGGCAGATATCCAAAGTCCTCTTGCCCCTGAAAACCCAAAAACAGCATAGTCTGTCTGGGTGCTTGTCTGATTCTGACATGAGCAGCATTTCTTGTTACACTCCATGTCTAGGACCAACTTGTATGGCCTGAATCCCATATCAGGTCAGGGCAGGAAGTTCAGCCCTTTCCTTCCCCGCTCCTGAGGGATCCTTTCCCCTCTCTGGCAATGATCCACCTTCTCTTATCATTTATGACTTTCGTGCTGACTCACTGTCTGGCCCACGCAAGCTTCAGTGCCTGTTTCTGCTGGCCCTCTCTGTGAGCACTGTGGCGAGAGAGGAAAAACAAGGTTTTCCTGCACTTGGAAGAAACAGCACTAATGAGAAGAAGTCAAGTGTCCAATAGAGGCCAAACAGGGTGGTGTAGACAGAATATATACCAGGAAAAACACTGTTAAGTTATCATAGGATGGTACATCTTTATTCTTAGTTCTTTTTTAATTTTATTATAAAATAGATATATTCATAGAGAAAAATATGAAGTTTCACGTTCTCTACACCCAGGTAAACTTAGTTCTCGGCATCCCACTGAGGTTGAATTTGAATGGTTTAAATTTCACCTAGTACTCTTTTGAGTTAAAAGGTTGATGGAGGTGGCAGGGGGAGGTGCTGAGATCCCAAGATTCCAGGGTGTCTCTGACAACACCTTTCAGTCTTATTTATGGAAACATGAAATGAAGCCAGCATGGATATAAACTTAACTGCAAGTATGATAAAAAAGTGAAACCTGGCCTAGGCATCATGGTGCTAGACCCTATCATTGATGCACATTAATCGCCCTAAAAGCCAAGGTTTTTTAGGATATCTCTTAGTTGAGAATGTGTTAGGCAAAATAGTGTTACCTTACACAGCAAAAGAGACATTGCAGATGTGATTCAGGTTGTAGACCTTAAGATGGGGGATAATCCCAGATTATCCAGGTGAGCCCAATCTAACCACAAGAGTTCTTAAAAGTAGAAGGCAGCAGAAACGTGGGTGAGAGAGATGGCAGCATAAGAAGGATTTAACACCCTGTTGCTGTTTCTGAGATATAGGAAGCTCTGTGCAAGGAGCAAGAGGGACCCCAGGGAGCAAAAGGTAGCCCTCAGCTGATAGCAAGGAAACTGGGGCTGCATTCCCATAACGCAAGGAAATGACTACATTCTCCCAACAACATCAATGAGCAAGGAAACAGGTCCCCTCCAAGAGCCTCCAGAAGGGAAAGCAGCCCTGCCAACACTGTTTTTATCAGGTGAGTCCAGGGTTGAGCTTCTAATCCTACAGAACTATATGAAAATCTGTGTTGTTTAAGCCACTATGCTTGCAGTAATTTGTTATGGCCACAACAGATAACTAATACAGATGCATCTAGGTGGCATAAGGTAGGATCGATAAAACTTATTGATCCGAGAAGTATAGCTCTCAAGAGAGCAAGCAGATAACATTCAGTAGGGGAAGCTATCGTAAGAAAAACTGGCTCCAATATTTGCCACCCTTGCATACACAACTATTTTATATATATCCAGAATATATGTAAATTCGGGATGCATATTTCTGATGTTCAGCTAAGAAAAATACTTTGACATTCTTAACTCTGAAACCAATTCTGTCTTATGTACATAGTTGTTTTAAAAATAATAGCAAATGGACAAATGCAGTTGAGTTATTTGGTGATTGACTTTTGGCACCAATAGCCCCATGGCCTTGCCCTCCCACCTGTCTGTACTGGAAGTTATATTTCTTTCCATGAGCTGCAGAAAGGAAATAACTGCATAACCTGAAAGGGTAGCTAG